GCAGTATGTCGGCTGCTGTCAGCGCGCTGTCCCTCAAATGCATTAGTGTCAGTCTCCACACTGCAGCAAGCCATGAAATGAGTGATGAAATATCAAATCCTCCTCCACCACACCCACCAACGCACAGGACGCACTATCGACCACAAGTCCATTTAGAAAGGAATTTAATATTTTCAGCTAACCCAATCACACATGGTTAGTGCAGGGTGTAATCCAATAACATTCCATCATAAATGCCCCTCTTGTGGGCCTATTTACAGCACTGATAAACCGGGAAGAATCAAGATGTTGAAAAAAGCTGGCCTTAATAGATTGTCTGGGCTGCTTTAGGGAAGCTTGTCCCACTCCTTTATGTCGATATACTGCTGTAAGTTATCCCTGCGAGCGCAGATTGGCTAAAGTGGAGCTGACTTTGTGAATAGGTCTTTCATTTATTAGGCCCTTTATCTGTAAGGGCAGACCAGGAGAAGGCTAAAGGAAGACGCTTAGCCCACATCAGATGGATAGGGCAAGACGTGGGATAATTATGAGGCATTTATTATGGAGGGGTGATTAATAGGCCTTTCTGGACAGGGCCGGTACCGCTGGGTGTGCTGCGGTTGAACTTACTTTGTCCTTTGCAAACTGTTTTCAATAACGTTCCTTACAAAGGCAGAGACAGTGTTAGCCTGTGTGTGCCGGGCCTCCAGAGCAGCCCAGTGAATGGAGAGCATTTGTTAGGGGACAGAGGTGGCCATGCTTCACACAGCCACTGAACTGCGAATACTCATTTGGTTCCTGAATGCAGCCGTGACAACCACCATTTATATCTGGCTGGTTGTATGCTGTCCAGACCATTAATAACAGTTTATCGCTGTCTAATTAGTGTCGGCTGATTGGAAAGCGCAACAGACGCGAGGGAGAGCCTGAGTCGCTTTGTTTCAGACCACAAATCCATCCATAGGAACAATGTGGAAAGGTGAGCAGCAGCCTCAGTCATGTGGAGTCTGAGCTGCATGTTTTAGACTTTGAACCTAATATCTGTAATAATATCTGTAATACTGATAAACTTTATTATCTAAAAGAACTGCAGATATTTGTTCTGATCCACATTGCTAAAAATATTGTTACCTTTAGCATCTGCGTCATTTATATCTCAAGAATGACGTCTCTTCTTATTCACATCGATAAACTTCAGCACAGAAGTGGTAGTGGGAGGGAGGTGTTTGGGCCTGTGTCTAATGTGTGTTGTCTTGTTTTGGGTGTGATTTTCTTTCTGTGTGCGATTGTGTTTCTGTGTGTAATTTTGTTGCGTGCATAATTTTTTTTGCGTGTGTGTGATTGTGTTTGTATGTGTGATTGTGTGCGTTTGTGTGATTGTGTGTGTGATTGTGTTGCGTGTGTGTGATTGTGTTTGTATGTGTGATTGTGTGTGTAATTGTGTTGAATGAGTGAGAGGGCCAAATGTCTGCTTCGTCCATGACTCTTTTCCGAATGTTTTATTTTGTGTCTTGTTCATTGTTTTTATTGTTTTCTTTTGCATAACATTTAAATAAGTTCTTACCATACAATACTATATTACACTACTATTACCATACTGCACTACACTATACTACTATAACTATACTATACTACACTATACTACTACTATACTATACTACTAACTCACCTCCATCATGGACAACCCCCATCTGAGCAGGGCCTTCATCCCCACTGCTGTCAGACTGTACAATAAGTCACTTAATGACCTGCACTATGGCAAACTTGCAATGCTACAGTCACTTTTGAATTTTTATTGTGACCTTTATTGCACAAAAGATTCTAAATTTTGACTTTTTTTTTACATCTTTTTACACACTGTGAGTGACCATATTTATGCCCATTGTGAGATCAATATAGTTTTATCTTATCTGTGTTTTCTTCTGTCATATCTCGACAATAAACCAGGTGCATTTGATCGCTTTCTCCTATATGGTTTATTGTCATCTATCATTTATGATTTTTTTTTTTTTACTTTCTACGGCCTAATTACAGTCTATGGATATCAACTTCTGCATTGGTCTTACTTAATACAAACAGACACAGTGCTGTAAAGTTATGCAGTAATTGGGGTTTGATCAGACATTACGGCCTCACGAGGAGTGCCATGTTCAGCCTTTGAAGATGCTCTGACTCAGGGGGGGCCGCTCCGACTGCTATCATTATCAGTAACAACCTGTTCAACAACATTAGGCCCACATGCTTGTGTATATTAGACTCATAAGACTACGGTTGGAATTTGAATGCGGAAAAAATTAAAAAAACTTCTTGCGAAGCTGTCCAGAAGTATGATTGGAGACAAGAACGTGGGATTCTCTGTCAATCTGGCAACCGTTACGTTGTTGATTACTACTGCTGCTGTCCCTCCCTTTTATATCATGTTTTAGAGACTAGGAACTATGAACTAGAACATTTATTTTTTATTTTGTCGGCACAACATTTCATACTGTGCATGGTTTCTTTATAGATATTAAAGTTGGGGTAGCTAAGATTTTTTCCCTGTGAATAATCCGTCATTTGTTCCAACAGAGAGTTTCATTTGGTCCTATATTTTTCGCTTTACTTTCCGAAAAAGCTGATCTGAAGATGTGTCAGAGGTCAACGAATACATGTGTGAAAACTAGTGATGGAACTAAACTGTTTTGAGAGCAAGAAACTACTTTATTGATTTGATTACATAGTGACATGTGTGATAAATTGGAAGTTGGTTACAGCTCAAATCTACAAACTCTAGCGAATCTTTTGCAGTAATACCAGAGATTGCACATTTACCTACTTTCCCACTGACTTATCTGACCGGAGCTGGAGGATTTACCTTATGTGTTATTGGGGGTAAGGGAAATCGGAGCGCCCGGAGGAAACCTACGCAGACACAGGGCAAACAAATCCACTCAGAAAGGCCTGCTGTTCCGACCAGGATTCAAACCCAGGACCATCTTTCTGAGAAAATGGGGGCGCTAACCACTTAGCCAACGTGTCTTTTGGTCTGGAAAGACTAAACAAAGCAGAGTTGGAAGAATCTCAATCTGTAATGGATCCACCGTGTATTGAACACGCCGTCTCCTAGCTGGCAGCAGAAACGTTAAAACACCTCTCCTCATTTGTGCCTCCGATAAACTGAGTCTGTAGGTCAGTGAGGGCCCACCACTCCACTCAACCTCCAAACCACCACTGACACGCTGCTGCTCTAATTAAGGAGACATTTTCTCCTCGTGATTTCTATTGACACACTGGAAGGAGAGAAAAACTACACAAACAAACCAGGCCACTCCTCAGCCCGCCTGCATGCAAGTTATCCTCATTCGTCTCAATTCTAGCTTACCCTGGATGTTCAATTTAACCTTTTAGATAAGGTTTATGTATTTATAGCATAATATCAGCAAGACAAAAATAATACATTTATACACACAGTGAGCAGAGCCTGGACATGAGCAATACAATACACACCAGAGAGACAGATGTGGAATAGTACTTATCAATGGAAGTGAAAGGAAGCCAAAGCAGCTTGTAGAGTGGATATTCTTTGACCCTGCATATAGTGCCAAAAATGAGGCAAGATGCGGATGGGTCTGGGGTAGTGTCAGACATACAGAAGACATGTTTTATCGTTGATGGTAGAGACGAGACATAAACAAAGATTTTACAGAATTCAATTGATATTATAAGATAGACCGTCAAATCAGCAGCTGCCACGGTGCCAGTAGCTTTGGCCTGGAGATAACAAAAACATCAAGTGGAAAAACTGTTTCTTACAGCCTTTAAACCTAGCCTGGCCTTAGCCATCCATACACTCTGTTCAATCATAATTTCACTGCTTGTAACGTCTGGGTCTAGTCCCTATGTTAGCGATTATGATCGGTTGAATTTTGACCGACCATTCAGAGAGCATCGAACAGGCAGGTTGTAGTTTGGTAATGGCAAAAAATGCGATAGTAAAGTATTCCGGTCTGGTTCTATCAAGAAATTGAAGCCGGAGCAAGGGTACTGTTTAGCAACTGCAATCACTGGAAAAAATTGTGGCGCTACTCCCCACGGGCTCCGTTAGTGGCAAAGGAGATGGCTAGGCTAAATGCTAAATGCTAACAACAGACTAGGGCGCACTACATACGTCACGGTAAACTCAGATCCAATCGTTTCAATCTGCAAAAGGAGTTAACCCCTCCCACCTGTTAACGGAGCTGGATGGAGCACCTCCAGACCTTAGTACGAAATGTCATTTGTACTATGGTGTGGTACGACCAGGCTACTTTAAACCTGGAGGTCGTGGGTTTACAGCCCACCGCGAGACCTTTTCCACCATCTCCACTGATGTCTGCTGCCATTGTAACCTTGGGAAAGACACTTAACCAACTTTGCCTACAAGGAGCACAAAAGTAATGTTCGCTGCATGCCTTGATGTGTTTATGTATATATGTAATCATCAAACAGAAATGTCCCCACCGTGGAACGAATAAAGGACCATCTCTCTCTCTTAACACTGCATTGTTATAATGAGAAAATCAGTTTGAACCAAAATTGCTTCAAAAGTGTCATGAAACATCCAAAATACTACCTTTAAGTATTGTGGCCTGGGTTATCAGGTTGATCTGTCTTGTTCCACATCCGCACTCCTGCAGTCACAGCCTTTGAAAGTTGCTCTCACACATCCAATAACTAATCATATACTGGAAACATGGCATGCAGCAGGAGTGAAAATAGACTCCTAAAGGATTTAGTGTGGCCAGAGTCCTCCCAAAGAAGTCTGAGCTACTCCCATAACTATAATGCTTTGAATGTTTTGCCCTGCGTGTGGGGTAAGCTCGGGCTTACGGAGCATGTTACACCGTGAGTCAGTCAACACAACAGCATTTTTGATAATTACTTGACATTTTGTACATCTGTTGTATATATTCGTCCCCATCTCTGCTCACCTTCCTATTCATTTGCTTGTCTCCTACTGTGGCGGTGTGACTCCCAGCCGCCTATCTTTGCTCTCTGCAGCATTAGTGTTTGTGCTTGCCTGTGCAATAGAAGGCGACGCGCGTCAGGGCCTCTGTCAGCACCACAGGAGCCAGGATGTAGATGGGAGGTGAAAAGCTCCCGGTGACGAGGCTCGGACGGTAACGACACACCAATCCCCTTTCGTCTCTCTCTTTCCCCGCTCAGATTGTCCGGCGTTTTATTGCGCGCTTCTCTCCTTCTTTACCCCGCTCTCCATCTCCTTTGTTATTGCAGCCGTAAGAAGGGAGTGAGCCCTGACAAAGTACGGGATTGATAGATGGACAGAGGCAGAGAGTGGATGAGAGAATGGATGAGGGTGGAGGCGAGGGTTTAACACAGGCAAACACAGAGAGACAGAGAGGAACAGCCTGCTTGCCCGTACGGCCCTTTCACAGTCCCACAGCAATTAAGAGCTGCACTAACCCACTGCTGCACTGGACTCCAGCTTCCCCAGCTCTGCAGCCTCTGTGCATATGAGCCACCACCAGAGCAAACACCAGCACCAACAAATACTATATACATTCAGTACAAGTGGAATTGTTCATCACAGAACAGCAAACACGCTTTGGTTACCTGACGTATTTCATTTGAAAACCAATACAGTGTTTAGCACAGTGTATATTAGTAAACAGTTGTTGAAACTTTTTCCATTTTTGCCATATTATAATTGGAGTGGGCTGCTTTCCGCCAGCAGCTTTACCCAAATCACAGCCGTGGTGTGTACTTGTGCAGGTCCTTTCTCACAGCGTGCATACCTAACCAGCCCTGGAGCAGAGATGGGAAAGAGCTTGTACTCGGTGTTGTTATTACCAAAGCCTTCCTCTGTATCTTGGGTGGGGTCGCCTGCTCCTGTGTGCACGTATCCTCTCATTACACTGCTACCTGCTCTGCATTACTTGTCAGTGGAGTTGGAGCACCCTGCTCAGATTAAGACTAATGCCGATGGCCCCAGGAACTGCGATTAGAATCACACTCATTACTCAGGGCCCAGTGACGGAAGCAATTTAAAGCCCTCGTCTTTACAGTACAAGAGGCAGGGCAAGCCCCCACTGTCAGGAGCAGGCTGGTCTGCACTGCCACACACACTACACTCAGACTGTCGCTCCATGTACCCTCCAAGGACACCTGAAGGCCAGGCCCTCGCTGCCTTAATTGACTTACTCTCCTTCCCTTTGGCCTTTAATTTATTTAAACTTGGATGAGGCAGTGGGGCTACTAGCAGCCTGGTTTGCATGTTGCCTAGAAGTTGGCACAGTGAGAGACAATCATGAAACAAGTGCTTGTGCGTGTCTCAGATCGCTGTGTGTCGGAGAAAGATTAGGTGGTCAATTATTATCAGAGTCTTGTCACGGAGACTGATGGAGTGTACAGTGTGTTGTGTGTGTCGTTCTATTGTGTGTGTGAACCTGCTGTGAGGTTACAGCTGCTACTGTCCTTCTGTGACAGTTGTCCAGGAGAATGCCAACCAGGGCCAACTTCAGGCCGCCTGCCACTCAATAATGAATGATGGGCTCATCAATTAGCACCTGTCACCATGGCAACTCTGTTCCAGCAATGACAGTCTGGCAGGCTGCGGAGAAAGCACTTTCATCTTTCTGTCAGTCAAAGACATCTTTAAACTTAACACATAAAAGGTATTGTATAGTTATGACCTTTTGTCCAGTGATTATATGTTTTCCCTCAAAACTATGTCTCACTTTGGTCACGGTCACAAATAAGACTCACATACTGCTTTATTTACAACATGCTGCTTTATTTACATAACCAGCACAAAACAATAAGCTAATCAAAAACCTACATTTTTCAAACATATCTCCCATCTTGTTAAACAAACACATTTCCCTCCTGTGTCTTTACATCATTATGCACATTCACAATGCATTGGAAAAGTCTTTAGTTCTTTTTTTTTCCTGTTTTGCATCCAGACCATAAAACTGAACATAGCTAGCGAGCTGCGTGAAGGAACATAAAAGGTACCAAGAAGAACCAAATGTTGCCCAACCACGGGCGACATTTGGTGACAGAAAGGTAAAATGTTCCATGTAAAATGCATTGGAACAGAAACTATATTTTGTCTGCTCCTGCTGCTGCCAGACTGACCATTCTAGGTTTCAAATGGTCAGGTTTAAGTGCTCTATGGATTTGATAGAGAAGCTGGTGGTAAAATCAGCCCATACCACCATCCAAACCAAGCCTCACCTGCGGGCAGTGAGCACTGTGGATAACGTCACAGTCGCTGTGTCCTTTACAGTCTGTGTCCAAACACAGAGATTGAGAATGTGGCGCTCCATATGCTGTAATGTTTTACAGGCCCGCTGGGTCAGACTCTTGTATAGCCCCCTCGCTGAGCCCCTTTCATATGCACACACGTGTATATGGAGGTGTGGATGTGTCCAGTGCTGAGCTCGGTTTAAATGCTGTCAATCATTGATTTTAGCCTCTGACAGTAGATGGATGGCTACAGTGATTGAAGGAGTCAGGGTTTTGTCTTTCTCCGTGTGCTGTGAGGATTCAAGTGAGAAATCCTCACACAATCTGCAGCCCGTCACCACCCCTCCTCTTCCTCCCCAATTTCCCTCTCCCCCTTTCGCTCTCTCTCTTTTAACAAATGGGCATCAACAGGCCATGAAATAATCAATGCTGATGATCCATCTTGGAGCCTGTCGATATGTTAATGAGCACGCCTCATCGTTATTGCGGCCGGGTCATAAATCACTGCCTCTTAGCAGAATGCACAGCAGCTGCTGCGGCAAACCCCAGGCCAGGAATAAATACTGTCTTTTAACGATTAATGTCCAAACATTCTGCTGGCCTGCGCCTTGATTGTTTTCAGATGCCAAAAAAGTAGGACGGATTGTAAATCAATAAAACAATAAGACAAAGTGTTTTAATAAAAGGAGAGGTTGCGAGTAAATCATTGCAGTGCTCCATTTAGCACTGCTTCCTGGCTAAGGAATAATTGGATACCTGGTGCCCAGAAGTCATTTTTAAGGTTATAAATGCCTGTGTCGGCTAGCCGTGAGAAGCAGGGTTGCTTGCAGCCCCACATTTTTCAAATACGCCTTTTTTCGAAGAGACCAAGAACAGCACAAGAAAGGTTTAGTGGCTATTTATTTCACCATGAGAAATGAAAAAATAACATGTTTTCTGTGGAGAGAGCGTAAATCATAATGATACATCTCTGAAACGTACACCAACAAACATAACCAAGTGCTGCACCGTAAATGATAAAAAATAGAAACATGAAAAATGATCACAATTTTGAGACCATCCATCACCGGAAAATGTTTTAATTACAGAATGGACTGCAAAAATTTCAACCAGATCTGCATTCAAACAGATGATTTTTCTTATTTTCTTCATCATCAAATAATAATAACATTAGAATACACATGGGTCAGATCACAATTCAATCTTTATCACCATAATACCCTGCCACGCTCTCCAAAGACATACTTTATCAAGCCTGAAGAGTAACCTCTGTATGTACTCTTGCGGGATAGACAGTTTTATGTTGCAGTCCTTGGACTCTTCACGATGGATGAATCATTAAACCTATCCTTTATTTTAGTGTCAGAAACACGAAAGCTTACATCACTCTCGCACATCAATATCGGCGGTGCTCATGGCTCCATTGTTTGTGCCACCGTCTCTCGAGAGACCAATCATGTGATGTTATGTATTCCTTTCTGCTGTTTGCACGAACGCACATTTGAGCTAGGGGTGTGCTACAATATCGGAATATCTTACACTTTGACACTCAAGTTGGTGATGCTGTTGGAAATCTGTAAACTTGTTGGTAATTCCTCGCAAAATCTGAAATGCCTTATGTTTTCAGCAGCCAGCCAGTTGGTTCATCTTGTCTCCTTAGAAGAAATGATTGATGAAGTATTTGGTTGATCTGAGCCAGACAATAGTACGTTAGGGCTTCTGAGGAAGACGGCAGTATACCATTGAAACATGTCAAGGTAATAACATAGCTAACTTACTATTGTCTGGTTTAGTACACTGCCAAAAGTGTTTTTTTTATCCTAGTTTTTAATACATTCTGACTGTCTTAAAACAAGATATGCCAATGGGACATTTGCAAATACATACATTATGATACATTGTGCGCATAAAAAGTATTATTATGTTGAGGTTAAGATACATTGTCGAAAAAGAACCAAGAAAGAAATGCGGTGATATCAAGCTTGACTTTCCCTGTGCTCTTAAATGCATCTGCCAGCCTTGTCTCAGTAGTATCCATCTTACATGGTTACATGCAGTGTTAACGGAGTACAAATGGTTTGATCCCAAGTGGCTGTGTTTACATGCATCTTGCTAAATGAAATGAAATAGGTCTAGTAAAGTTTTCCGGTTTATACAATAAACATTTTTTTATTCATAAAGCGCTTTTCATACAAATAAATGCAACTCAAAGTTCTTTACATTCTGGTCAAAAACACATTAGGCCATGACCCGACCACCCAGCCAACCCATAAAAACACACCACCACACGCACACATATACATACATACGCACACAGTCACTGGCGATAAAATAAAACAGGTAAAAATATGAAAAGATAGAGCTGGGTGCAGATGTAACCAGCTGAAGAAGCGTCATCGAAGGAGCCGTCTGCACCAGGAGCAGAGAGCCGTCTGGATGTTCTCATTTATGTGCAATACAAAGTTATGACACAAATGCAAGGATGGCTTTTTCTCCTTTGAATCAGCATTAATACGAAAAGTGAATAATCCAAATTTAAGGCATGGACCCAGCCCAGAATATAACCCGCTCCTCTAGAATAAATTGTATTAGTTCAGACTTATTTATGACTTTAGTCTGAATTTCCTCTGGATTCCAGTGGCCTGTGCCGGGCTTCTATCACGCAGGCGGAGATGAAGTGCCGAGCTGCATTTTTCTGCCTCACTTTTTAAGTATTTTAATGATGAATCTGCTCCTCGGGTTTGCGCCGGCTGCGGGGCGGACATAACGGCAGTTGTTTAAGTTCTCCAAAATAAATAGTATATATTTCAATGGAGACAGATAGCAGAGAGGAGCCTGGGAAATGGCATAGTTTGACTTGTGGAAGTTGCCTTTCTAAATAGTTTTTGTTACCGCGATAAGGAACATTAACTCCAGATGTCAAACAAAGTAAATAATTTATCAGCCGGCTGCAATAAATGCCATGTGTGGAAAAGCAAATGGAGGTTTTTATTTGCACTACCTGTCATCTATCTCGAGCACGCGTCGCCTTTTGACTGATCCACCGCATTTCTTTACATGCATCCAGCCAGCCATAGCACACACGATCACTATCCCCCTTGATTTTGGGGATCACAGCTGCGCAGCGTGCCATTGCAGAACAGATGGGCCTGCGTGCGGGTTATTAGTGTGAATTTATGGCCTTACAACATACACTTTCATTAGATAGGGTTGCCATTTAACACGGGTTAAAGAGAAGGCGCTTTACACTTCTCTGCACTGATCTACATTCAGAGCAGCTCGTTGTAGATATTCATTATTGCTCCGGGACCTGTGTGTGTGTGTCTGCGTGTGTATGTGTGTGTGTCTGCGTGTGTGTGTGTGTGTGTCTGATTTATTTTGTCGGCTAGGGCTGGGGCTGGGAGTGCGTTTTCAGCAGAGTTGTCTGAAGCTAATGTACAGGAGACAAAATGTGTTGTTGAGTTTTACTGTTTGGGAATTGTAAAAGTATAATGGACTGGTGTCTTCACTTTCATGGCAACTGAGGGTTTTTTATTTGTAAGTTTGTTGTGTAGTATTTGCAGTTTCCTTGGGTTGTATAGAAATCAGATATTAAACAACACAGGGCTGGTCAAATTAGGAAAAGTTCTCAAAATTCAGCTTGAAAAAAGAATGATTTAT